TTTCAAGAAGGTCTGAAAGAATTTTATTCAGGATATTGAAACTGTTCTTAGAGTACTCATTGTGCTTTTTCTTTAGTTTTGAAATGCTCTGCAGAAAGACTGTAAAGTATTGCATCGAACATTAAATCAATTTTTGGTAATCAAATGTGTGAAAGGAATGAGGGAGGAGACCATGAGGAAACTCACCTGCCAGTTCATTAATCCACACATCAAGGCACTGCTCTTGGTAAAGCCTGTATTTTGAAGCAGCACCTGTCATGAAGGATTTCGCCTCTTCATGCATATTGTTTGGGGGATTATTATGGTCTGTCCTTTTGGTATTGAAATCCTTGGACAAAGAGGAGAGAACATGCATTCAGAATTATTGGTTCCTTTCCCCTTCTCAACATAACAATTATTTCTCTTTTCAAAACCTGCACCATGGCAAAACTTACTACAACTATATGTTCAATTTCCTGCAATGATGCAGCCAAAGTATGAAATATAAGTGAAAGGAAGTCACCATTTTCATCATGAATTATTAGAGCACTTTGGTGTGATGCTTCTATCTTGTCAACCATGGGCTCCTCAATTTTCTTTGTCAAGAGCCAGTTTGATCTTCTTGTAACTGTTTGTGTGACATACCTGGACAGTACAAAAGATTATTTACCAAGCCCCTGTTTTTTTTTAGACTAAAACAGGAAAATCAAACAAAACAGTAGACCAGTCGCCATTTTCTTACCTCCATTTTTTGTTAATGTCTGACAGTTCATTATTCTTTTCATCTTCTAGATCTGCAACTTGTTCTGTTAATAGTTTTCCTCCGTATTTCAATGCAAGAGTATGCTTCTTAAGCTGGGATTGAGTTTTTTGAATCAACAGGGTAACATCACTAGTGAAGCTAAGATCCTCCTGGTGGAGCTGCAAACTTTTATTAGCTTTAGTTTATTAACCAAGGTACCATTAAACAGTCACCACCATAGAACTTGATTGACATACTCTCTCCTGCATATTGTAACATGTTTCATTGCCTCTGAGCAGCATTCTTTACTTCTTTGTTTGAGCGACATCACATTAGTTTTTGCAAGACCTTCAGCATACTCTTCTAAGTTGACTATCTCAGATTTAAGTTTTGCTATTTCTTGTTCAGAAAATGTTCCCCCATCTGAAAAGTGTCTAAACATTTTTTTACAGTTGATAATGTTTCCTTTGCAATTTTTGTTGGAGACAACTCACCTCAATCTAGCTAGGTATTGGAGGTTGTTTCTCTTTAGGTTGACTATCTGTTCTTCTACGGTAGTCTGGAAGTCATTATTCAAATTTTTAATGGATTCTTTACACAGTTTATAGCATGTGTCTACCTGGAAGATATACACACACATTACATTACATTTAGTAAAAGAAATCAAACTAAAAAAACCTGAGGCAATAAAGACAAAAAAAAATTAAACCTCTTCAATTGTGGATCCCACTGAGTTCATGATCATATCTCTCAAACCTCTCTCTTTTAGTGTCTTGATTTGGGAGCTGAAGTCTGTGAAAATTAGTAATTCCTTGACAAATACTTCATTTAGATTCTCTTGGAATGAATTGGTCACTTTTAAAATTGCCTATTTGATTAGAAACATGGGTCTAATTAAACTCTTCTCATCAGCAAATTAGAAATTATGAATCTAAAATACACACCTCTTTGTGTGTAGCAAATGACTTTTCATTGTTGTCCATCTGGGTAATCCGAGAAGTTTCTACAACAGACTGAATCTCACTGTATCTAAGTTGGTGGGAATCTAGAATGACATTGATCTCCTTTTCTAGTTTTCTTGTCTGCTCTTGCATCCAATTTTTCTCTTCCAACTGTGCATTGTTTTTGAAATCTCCCACTAAAAACTTATTAATATCTTCATAGCATCTGTATGGCAGAAAATTTGTTTAATTACTCCATGTTTAATCTGAATCTTGCTGTTTGGACCTATGCATTGGCTAATTACCTTGCCTTTTCTTCATCTACTGTTTGAGCAATAGCTTCAATCAAATCAAAGGTTTTGGAGTGGTTTGCGATGCATATAGCTGAGTCACACCTTACATGCAGTCCTTCATGTTTTTCCAAAAACATTTTAACAGTTGTATCAAACAAGTCTAGTTCAGAATTAAATAATGAAGCATGTTCTTCTATCATATTTCTCTCTCTACTGTGCATATTCTCAAGACTAGGGAGGAAAAAATGAGTCTGTCATGGTCTCTTATTTTTAGAAGGATGAGCTTCTGTAACAGATTTACCTGCTTTTAACTTCATCCAAAATTCTGAATATTCTGGAAACATTCTCCTGAAGGTGGTGTTTGTTAGTTTCCTCCTTTGATTTTACAATTATTTTTGCTATTCTTTGTTCTTTTGCCTGCAACAGAGTATTGATGTTACTATAGTCGTTTCTGAGGCCATTTCAAAACATTATTAGCCGTTTTAGGCAATCGAGTTCTTACTTCATTGCATTTTTTTCTTTGTGGCACTGTATCATGTAGTCTTTGGAGGGTGTTCTGCCGACACAATCCCTGAAGTATGCAGAATTTATCCCACACTTCTCCTGCTTCCCTTAGGAGGCATGCAAATGAGTCGAATCTCATTGTCAGCTTTTTGAGTCGCTGTTTCAAGGAGACCTGCATTTTTTTCCCAGTAAATATGTTACAATACACTGTTTTTGCCTATAAACTTGTTTTAGTTTAAAAATTCTGTTATGTGATAGTTACAGTGAAACTAGCAGGGTCTTCAGACAACTTTTTATCAATGCTTGTTATCAATGGTAAACAAACATTTCTCTCCAGTTTCTTAAAATTTTCTGCTGTTGTAAATTCGCCACTAATTAGAAAATCTTTAAGGTGTTCTATTTCATTAATGCAAAATTGTTTCAGCTGGGTGAGTCCTTCTGTTAGACAATCGGATATTTTTGTGGCTTCTGAATCTGCAATTTAGTTCTCAATATATAAGTACATATTGATTTTTCACTTAACACGTCATCAAGGAGACCACAAATTACAATACATAGTTGTAAGTACCTATTTGATAAAAATGAGATTGGACGTAGTTTGCCCAGCACTTCACACTATCAGCAAAAAATGGGTAGGACTCTGACCAGTTTACTGCAACCTTCAGCTCATCAAGTTTATTTTCAAAATCTTCCATACTTCTGCGACCCATTGATGTAGATGTAATGTACTCATCTAATGCTTTGTTTCCCGCTTCCCTGCAAGGAGATCATTGAGTCGTTCATTGTTAAAGCACTTTGTCTTAGACTAGTGTTCGAATGTAATGACAAACATGCGAAATAACGTGTAATATTTTTGTTGTATTTTGAAAATATTTGTAAACTACTAATACAGATATCATCTATGCACTTGGGTGTAGCTGACTGCGTGGGGCACGCCCATGAGCAGCACTGACTGTATGGCCGTGAGCGCGCCGCGCTGCCGCTGCTCGCTGGCCAGGCGCTTGGTGTTCTCCACGGCCTCCCTGAAGCGGCGGCAGTCTCGCTCGGCGTGCATGTTAAGGCACAGGCGCAGGTCCCCGAAACTGATGACATGCCGCAGATGCAGCTCGCTCACCTCCTGTGGGACAGGGCGAGGAGGACGGAGGTGGCGAGGACGTCAGGTCATGTGGGACTTCCCCGCCGGCTGTCGTCCTCTACCTTCCTCTCGGCGTCGAGCACGGGCTGCAGCCGGTGCGGGGGGAGGTGGCCGTTGGAGGCCAGCGCGGCGCCGTACTTCTTGAGGGCGCCCTTGGCGCGCTTCTGGTGCTCGCCCTCCACGTCGAGCAGCAGGTCGTAGAACGCGTCGACGGCGCGGCGCCGCTGCTCAGTGAGCTGCTGCACCACGTCGCCGGCCGCGGCCACGGCCTCCGCGAAGGCGCGGGCGTCGGCCTGCTGCAGCCCGGCCACCTCCTGCCCCTTGAGCTTCACCATGAGGGACGCCTTGTCCAGCTCGGTGCGCAGGTTGGCGGAGATGAAGGCCACGGTGCTCTCGGCGGCGCTCCGCTCCCGGAAGAGCTCCTGCCGCAGCTGCCGCACCAGCCCGTCGTGGCGCTCGCGCTTCCGCCTCACCAGGTCCTGGATGCGGCGCGACGGCTGCGACACGCCCTCTGCGCCGGTCGCCGGCATCAGTACCGCCTCCAACCCCACCCTCCCAGTCAAACCGCCCGGTCATTCAAGTGTCCCCGCGCTTACCGAACCACGAGTCCAGCTTTTCCGGTTCCAACCCCTGCGGCGCCGACCGTCGCCCGGGCGGCAGCGCCTCACCGCTCACCCTGATGGCCGACGAGGACCCCGCCGTCGCGGACGCCTTCCTCGTCGTGGACCTGGCGGCCGCCATATCAACGGGGGTGGATCGCTTTGTCTACGGGACGCTATAGTCCGCCCCCGTGCTAATGCGGGAGCAGGAGCAGCCCGACAACGTCAGCGGGAGGGATTAACGTATCTCCCGTCCCGGGGGCATTGTCAACACGGCAACAGCAGACAATCAGGCCGCAGGGGAGCAGTGTTGCAAAGGGAAACCGCACCTGGAAACAACAAAAAAAGTTCCTCCCGAAACTTCATAAAAGGGGAGAGAGAGAGAGAGAGATTTCTGCCATGGCAGCGAAAAAGGCTTGCACACTGCCAGGCGGGTCTTCCCTCGTGGGCACTGGGTGGCGGCCGGGGTCGGCATGGGCCTGGGTGGCGTTGGTGGGGTGCGTCCTGGCCGCCTCCATGCTACCCTCCAGGAGGCCTCCGTCGATGCGAAACAGTCAGCCCCACGTCGTCGGCGGCCCTGCGGCCCCGGCGGACAACCGGACCGGCGGGTGGGCGCGCTCGTGTTGCTCGCTGCCGTGCGAGAACGGCGGCCTGTGCGAGGACGGCGAGGACGGCTGGAGGTGCCGGTGCGAGGGCACAGGTCACCACGGCCGGCGCTGTCACATCGGTACAGACACCGTGCGATACACTACACACCGAAACGATGTCAAAATGTCAAAACGATATCGAAAAGGCAAAATTTCGATATTGTTTTTACCGTCATTTCACTGTGGAGCAGCACACATATGGCGTGGTGCGGCGGTACCAGGACGGGGCAATGCGCCGACAGACAAAGTTGTTTTACTTCCACACGCGCTGCTGCAGCCACCTGGGGGCGCTGGCTCCGGGATGGCCTCCTGACGGCGTCCTCGTCGCCCGGGTGGCGGTTCGCCGCGAACCTCCTGGGGCCGCTCTTCGGCGCGGCGCAGCGCCTCGCGTACACGGGTCAGCGTCAGCTTACATGTCGATATTTTTATCCGGTAGCTTCGGTTACTTACTTCGACGACACGGTAGGGTGACATCGACGCGACGTCGGTACGATGTCGCCATTGACGACAGACACGTGCGCGGCGGCCGCCACCCCAACCCTCCGGTCCGGGGCGGGCCGCCTGCTGCCCGCCGTGCCCGCGGGGTGTCCCACGCCCCTTGGCCTCGCGGGTCGCCGGCGGCTGCCCAGCGAGGAGGACGTGTTCGACGCGGTGCTGGCCAGGCCGCCGGACGCGTTCGTCGCGGACCCCACTGGCGCCAACCTCCTGTCGGTCGCCTTCCTGCACCATTTCCTGCATCAGTTTGAGGCCGGAGCCGGCGACCTGCAGGTATGTGTGATATAAGTGTCGTCTCCGAAATTTGTTTAGTTCGAATCCCGGGTTGCACTCGTTTAGCCGGTTCACGCACACGTCGTCCTGGTCCTCGAGGTTGACGCCAGGCAGGTGTACGGCGCTAGCGACGCGGCCCGGCGCCTGCTGCGCGCCCCCTCGGGCGGTCGCCTGCTGTCGAGGCTCGTCGACGGCGAGGAGTTCCCCGCCTGCGTTGAGGACGCGCCCGTCGACATGGTGTACCCCGTGACCGGGCCCGGCGCGCGACGCCGCCGCCACCTGCCGTACTACCACCTGACCGGGGACGCGGCCGCGCCCGAGGCGGAGCCGCGCTGGGCGTTGGGCCACCCGAAGCTGTCCTCTACGCCGCTGGTCTTCGCCATGGCCGTGGTGTGGCTCCGGGAGCACAACCGGGTGGCCGCGCTGCTCGCTGACGCGCACCCGCACTGGGACGGCGATAGGCTGTACGAGACGGCGCGGAGGGTGGTGACGGCCGAGATGGTGCTGGTGCTGCTGCGGGAGGTCGTGCCCGAGGTGTGGGGCTGGGGTCCTCGGGCGCCCGGGCTGCTTCGCGAGCTCGCCGCCCCGCACCATCGGCACACCGCGCAGCGGCTGCCGCTGCCCGCCGAGCTGCCCCTGGCCCTGTTCTGGGGCTGGCAGCTGCCCGACGTGCTCGAGGTCGGCGACGACGCGTTCAACGTGACGGACCTCATGTTCACTAACCAGAGGCTGGTCGTGGAGCGCGGTCTCGGCGCCGTGCTCCAGGCCGCGGCCACCCAGCCCGCCGGCAAGGTGCGCGGCCGCTACACTCGCGCGATAGCACCAGGATGGCGTCGACCACCGTCGTCTCTATCACTTCCCCACCTCCCCCAAGGCGTGCGCGCACAACAGCGGGCGCCTGGTGAAGGGCTGGACCAAGCGCCTAATGCGCGACGGCCGGCGCGCCCGCCTCCAGCCGTACGCCCGCTACCGCGCGCTCCTGGGGCTGCCCGCGCACCGCGACTTCCTGGACCTCGCCGGCGGCGACGCGCGGACGGCGGACGCCCTGCTCCGCCTCTACGGGCACGTGGACGCCGTGGAGCTGCTCCCCGGTAGGCGCCAGCCACGCGTCGTCCGCCCGGTGCCCCCGACCCTCGTCACCGCGGTGGTGCTCAGGTCTGGTCGCGGAGCGCGCGTCCCCCGGGGCCGCCCTGCCCCCCGCCCTGAGCGCCCTCACGCTGCCCTGGCTTCTGACAGCCGCCCTCGCCTCGCCGCTGGGCGCACCCTGGTCGTGGAGCCCCGACCAGTTTGGCGGCCAGGTTTGGAAACAACACGATGTCTTAGGATCTCAAAAGCTTATCGCACCGAATCTCACCCACTCTCCCTCTCCCGCACATACCTGTGCCGTTATAGTTCTTACTCTTCGCTCTGCAGAGTGGCCATAAAACAGAAAAAAATACTTTAAAAATATATAATAATCTGGGTTTTGAACCCAAAACTTAGGACGCTCAGGGCAGGTGCGCTACCCCTCGCGTCCGTCGTTGTGTATTTATGACGGCCGCGCGTCTTGGTCTTAGCGGCCGCACGAGAGTTTTATGAGAGCCGAACTGAAACCCGAAGATTGCCGAAGTTTGCAGATAAGGCCTCCGGCTGCCGTGGCTGTGCCATGTGTCCCCCGCAGTGACACACGGCCGGCACACGAAGTCGGCGGGTGATTGGTAGCGACTAACTATCCTGCCATGATCTCCGCCATTTTGCTAGGTTCAAATCCCCCAATGATGGTTTTATTTTTCACTTCCCTAGGTCGGCTGGTCGGTGCTGGAGGCTGTTTCGCTCCGAACTCTTGTCTGCGGGAACGTCCTCTTCCCTGCAAAAGCTGTAAGTGCGTTTTTTCTCTTTAATCAGTCGGTTTTATTTTTCGCGCGCTTTGAGACGCGGTTGGCCGCCCGTACTTTGTCGCCAGCCGTGCGCGGTGGCGTGGACCGTTCCTCGGCCTCGGCCCCCGGCGCCGCCGCCGCCCTGCGGGGTCACCCTGGACCGCGTGTCCTTGACGGCGACGCTGGCCTGCGTCCTCAGCGCCGCCGGCCCCCAGGTCACCGTCGAGGCCACCGTCACGTGACGACCGCCGAGGCGTTCGTGTCCGATGGGTGGCCGACCCGCACGGCGGCGACCGGGTCCCGCCGGTTACCCCTCGTCGGGGAGCCTGGGGAGCTCGGCGCGCCTGCGGGGTAGGCAGCTCACCGGGCGGCACACCACGCCCACCGGCTCGGCGGACGACTTTCACCAGACCTGCTCTCTCTCACTCTCACTCTTTGTTGAATACCAGTTAAGGTCCGGGCATTGACATGACCGTTTCCGTAGTGTAGTGGTTATCACGTGTGCTTCACACGCACAAGGTCCCCGGTTCGATCCCGGGCGGAAACACTTATTTTTATTCTGTTATTTTGCACATGGCGTGCTACCAACGTGTTTGGTCTCGTTTTGTCCTTGTCACGTCGTTTTTTTAACAATCTGTTCTTGTTTTTTTGTGTTTTGCTCTTGGCTGTGTCTTTTTGCGCTGCCCTGCTGCCCTGCGGCCGATTGTGTCATTATCCCTTTCAGGGCAGCCCTGTGACGTCACAGGGGCGGCCCGGACAGTTACGTGGCCCTCCTCGGCTGTGATGCAAAATCACGTGCAGACTGCCAAAATGTTGGCAAGAAACAATTTAAAAAAAATTAGAGGGGTGGAAATAAGGCTCGAGAGCATGTTGACCTTAACTAATTTATTTGTTAATTCTACCAGTACCAGCACAGGCACTTTCCCCATTGACAGTAACCGCCGGCGTACCCGTACGACGAGCACTGGTAGTTACAGCCGGGCTCGTAGCACGCCGCCAAACCGCGGGCGCCTGCCAAAACAACAATTGTTTTTAAAATAACATTACTATGACAATATTAATAATTTGTTCGTAGTGTCGTATACTATTTGCGTCAGTGAAATCTAAAGTTTTACACGGGAAAGGTCGGGCTGAACAACTTTACTAAAGGTGTTCTCCAAAGACCGGAAATCGAGGGGGGCCCAACTCGAAAAAAATCGTGTGCACAGAAATACAAGAAATACAAAGAAAAATACAAAAAAAAAAGAAATACTTTACAATACAAAGAAATACTCAGAAATACATCCTAAGTCAAAAATACAAGAAAATACAAAGGAAATACAAGAAATACTCACGAAGCGAACACAGAATTACACAGTTTACCCCCCCCCCTTGACGGAATTTAAGAAAGATGCTGCATTCCCCCCCCCACTCTCCCCTAGATTTTAGTTAAAGTTAATTAAGACGAGGATGTCTCACCTGCCGGCTGCTCCGGGGCGGCCTCGGCGGCCATCCTCACGACCACTTTGCCCTCCTGCAGGACCTCGCTGAGCGGCTTGGTCTTGCGCTCCTTGGTGGCGACGGGGCTGGCCTCGGACACGGCCGCGAGCGCCGCCAGAGCCACGACGAGAACGAACACAGCCTTCATGGTGGTGTTGGTGTTGATGGTGATGTTTAGTCCTTGCGCACGTGTGCCTTGCCTGATAATGTCCCCAGCACAACCCTGCGAGTCCTTTATATGCCCCGCTATCGCCCGTGCCCCCCATCCACTCATTAGTCTTCTGGGAAGCACCGCGTAAGGTGCTGCCCGTGCTTCTGAGGCGGGTATCTTCCGTCAATAAAGACTCGTATGTTTATAGTATACCGTCGCAAACGGGTGACATTTTTAAAGAAATGTTTTGGGCTCCAAGTGCTTGGAACGCAAAAGTCGATGCGGTTGTCAATCATTTGTTATTACAACACTGAGCCCAAGAGTTCGGTTTTTGAAAAAACAAAAAAAAAAAGGACGCCAGTCAAAAACTGTGACCTTTTGTTTTTGAAATAACACGCGCCCAAAGAACGTCTTTATTA